CTTTTTATGAAAATATCTTGATTTTTTGATTAAGTTAGTTGAAAAACATTTTTTATGTTGGTTACCTGTTTTAAATTGATTGTTTGAAGTATGATAGGACATAGATGAGGAAGTCTGATATAGTATCCTCATCACGTGGTCAGATATTGGCCACGTGCCGCTCCCGGATGATGAATTTTATAAGTTGCATGGATTTTAATTGTTTGATTTTGAATAATAAATCGGCAAATGATGTGTCGACTGATTTAATTACTCGAAGATGACCATCCTATTATTTATAGAATGTTTGAATTAATTGTTATAAAAATATTAAATTATTATTCTTGATTAAAAATTATTAAATTAATCAAGAAGCTAACTACATTAACTAAACTAATTAAATAGATTTAAGATTGAATTAATTAAGAATTAAACTAATTACAAAATCTAAAACAGAGTGTGAATAGAACATACATGTATTAATTAGTAAAAGAGCAGAAAGGATAAATTGTATATTCTTATAAGCTCTTAATTCTTGGAGTGTTTTTGTGTTGTATTTTGTTTACACCTCTGATTGTATATCAAGTTTAATTCTTAAATAATCATTAATCTGTAAGATAGGTTGTTAGAAGTCTCTTGCTTGTTGCTTGAGCATTTGGAAGTCTCTTGCTTGTGTGCTTGAGCATTTAAGTCTCTTAATTTTGTGTTTAAGTATTTGGAAGTCTCTTACTTGTGTGCTTGAGCATTGAAGTCTCTTACTTTTGTGTTTAAGTATTTGGAAGTCTCTTGCTTGTATGCTTAAGTATTTGGAAGTGTCTTGCTTGTGTGCTTGAGCATCTGTAATAAGAAGTGATTATATTGGAATTACCTTGAAAGTGCAAGGGGACTAGACTAATCATGATTTATGGGAGGAACCAGGATAATTTCATGTGTCTTTCGTTCTCTCATCTTTACCTCCGAACCTTTATTCTACCGCATACTTCAGACCCTGACTCAGATTCTAACCTTGTGTTCATAATCTGATAAGAGACTTTCAAGATTAAAGTAAGAAAAAGTTAACATAATTCAACCTCTTCTTCTTGTTTTTTTCTCTCATTTTGTTAGCATCATAGCACGATTTGTGCATTAAAACTTAATTGTGGTACAAAAAAAGATTATAAGAGGAAAACATGACTGAAATACCTTAAACCAATGGTACTCCTACAAACAATGATGCACCCTTTGATTATAGTGTTTCTGAAAGAAACACTTATACTTTAAAACCTCCAACCTTCAATGGAGATTCTACTGAGATTGAATTATGGAAAAGTAAAATTTTTACTCACATTATAGATATTGATGATGATTTATAGGATATTATTGAAGATGGCATTGAAATTGAAGTAGATGGAGTGAGTATGGTGGCTTATAGAAAAATCCTCACACCTGCTCAGAAAAGATATATAGAAAATATCCTAGAGTAAGAGGGATCATGGTAGATGCACTACCTCATTCTAAGTATCTCAAGATTCTTAACAAATCTACTGCTAAAACCGATTTTGAGTCTCTTTGTGGTACTTATGAAGGAAATCAATAAGTTAATGGGACATAGGTAAACCTTTTGGTCCAACAATATGAACTATTCAAGGTGAAGGAAGATGAAGACATTGAAACCATGTTCTTAAGGTTTAAAGTATCTTGATTTCATGTGTTGAATAAGAGCTATACAGTTGTTGATCACGTCAATAAGATTCTTAAGATTCTTCTTGCTAAGTATAAATATGTTATACAAGAAGCTAGAGACTTAAACAAGATAAGTATGGAGAGTCTGATTAACAATCATCAGAGTTACGAGATGAAGCTGATTAGAGATGAACCTAAGAAGTCAAAGTCTCTTGCTTTGAAGTCTGTTGATCATTCTATCAAATCTTCTCAAGTATGGAAATATAAAGAACCTACTCATGAAGAAGGTTCTGAAAAAGATTCAAAATATGAAGAAATGCATTCATAATCAAGAGATTTCAGTATCTAGCCAATAATAAGAATAAAATATTCTCAGGAAGAGGCAATGGCTTCAGGGGGTCAAGCTCCAAAGTTAATAAATATGACTAGAAGGGATGATACAATTGTAAGAAGCCTGATCACTTTATTGTTGATTATCAAGAGCTACAGAAGGACCAACCAAAGAAATGAAGCTTTCAGAAGAACAAATTCTGAAATAAGGTCAAGAAGAGTCTCATGGCAACATGGGATGAACTTGACAAAGAAGAAGAATCTGACAAAGATGAAGAAGAAGTCAATCGGGCTATGATGGCTTCAACATCTCCAGACACAGAATCTGATTCAGGTTGAGGCTCAGATTCTGAAAAAGGAGATGAAGCATTTTCTAAACTATCTCGTTCAGATTTAATTACTTTCATTCAAGACCTTATAGGTCGTTGTCAGGATAAAGCCAAACATATGAAAATTATGAAAAAGCATTATGATCTCGTGAGAGATGAATTAGAATTTTATAAAAATAAATTTGATGAATTAGAAATAGATCGTATTGCTTTAGTAAATGATGTGTTTAACAAACCCCTTAGTGAGTATGAAATGACTCTTAAGGATTTTGTTATTTCTGGATTTAACAGGACAAACATTGCTTCTATGATTTATAATGTTAGTAGGAGCAGAGGAGGTGGTCTTGGCTATTCTGAAAAATCTTTTAAACCAGTAAAACCTTCTTCTCATAGTTCTTATAATAAATGACTTTATTCTTACTTGGTTTATGATGGTGACAAAGTAGAGGTTCTGAACCAGTTAGAACAAAAGACTATAGAATCATATGTTCTAAAGAAATCAGAACCAGAGACCTCAAAGTCAAAGGTTCTGAAGAAACCAGAACCAATGATTCTTGTTAATTCTTTGAATTATGTAATTGGCATTATGTTTGGAAAAACTAATAGCGTAACAATATGTTATATAAGATATATTTACTTGCTAACATGAACAGGTTGTGCAAGAAGTTCCATCTTATGTTGATACATGTTAAGTTGAAGTATTTCAACATCTGGAGCAACATGTCAGATAAGATGTACTATGAAGGAGCATACGACATCGCGTCTGAGCTGAAGTGATATGTTTATTCTGTTAAGTCACAATGACAGAATATATTTTAAGATATTATATTATCCTATGTGGCGTTGTTTTATAGGTCATGAAGAATCAAGTCAAAATATTGAAGATTATGCAATTTCTAATTATGGAGATAATTTAGGAAACAAATGATTGAAGACCTATTGTTATGCAAAATCTTCTGCAAAATTGTAAAAGCTGACAAGTTGTGATTAAAGGCCCAAATTCAGTTGGGACATAGGTTATAAAAAGAAGCTTTGTAACCTAGGAGTTTGACCAGCCGTGAATTATCAAGATGTAATCATTAGGGTTGAGTCTATAGCCACTCTCTAGGAGAGTCGGTGTAAGTGAACCACTTGGATTGCGAGATGACCATTGTGTTCTCCTCGAAACTATGAAGCAAGAGTGAGTATTATTCTTGGAGGAAGCTTGTAAGCAACTCCAATTATTGTTCTTAGTCAAGTGAGTCTTGTCTAGGTATTGTTCTGGAAGTGTGTCTTCCTATTTTGTATTTGAAATATGATCTTCATATAGGTAAAAATTCGTCGATACAATAACTGGAATTGAGACTGTTAGACATCATTGCGGTGATTGGAGGTGAGATGGGGTTTCTCATATCTAAGGAGGACCTAGGTAGAAGTTGCACAAAGTAGTGATTAAGTGAAAAGTTTTAAACGGGGGAGTTTAACTTCGAATTGATATTGTCTAGTGGATTTCCTTCCTGGCTTGTGCTGTAACTGGTTTTAAAACAAGAGTCGCCACTACTAGTTTTTATTCTAAGGAAGGGAATCTAATAGGAAACTCCAATTTTGTGCACAAAGATTCTAGGTTATTACTTCGTTTTAGACAAATGGAAGGTGTTAGGCACCCCTCATCTTACCTTGTTCACAAGGATACCAGGGTTTAGAAATTAAAGATTTATGGTAAGGGTTATAATTTTTTATTAGGGGAACTCGCCACGATTTTAGCAGCGTGCCTACGTATCCTCTTATGAGGAATCAGAGTCTCAATTCGTAGTTCACAGTTGGTTGGTATTTTTTATGGATTGCATAGAATTACTTTCGAATTATCCTTGAACCTTGTTTGGATTGTAAAATGAGTGATCGTAGATGCAGTTCACAGTTAATTTTGAAAATAATTCTCCTTAATTCTTTTTATGAAAATATCTTGAGTTTTTGATTAAGTTAGTTGAAAAACGGTTTTTTTTATGTTGGTTAGCTGTTTTAAATTGATTGTTTGAAGTATGATAGGACATAGACCAGGAAGTCTAATATAGTCTCCTCATCACGTGGCCAGATATTGACCACGTGTCGCTCTCGGATGGTGAATTTGGTAAGTTGCATGAATTTTAATTGTTTGATTTTGAATAATAAATCGGCAGACGATGTGTCGACCAATTTAATTACTCAAAGATGACCATCCTATTATTTATAGAATGTTTGAATTAATTATTATAAAAATATTGAATTATTATTCTTGATTAAAAATTATTAAATTAATCAAGAAGCTAACTACATGAGCTAAACTAATTAAATAGGTTTAAGATTGAACTAATTACAAAATCTAAAACAGGGTGTAAATAGAACATACATATATTAATTAGTAAAAGAGCAGAAAGGGTAAATTAAAAGCCCAAGGCCCATAATCAACCTTAATCCAATGTATACTAAAAGAATAAAAGAAATTAAATATAAAAAAACCCGAATAGAGGGGCGTCGCTGGTTATCTGTTACAGGGAGAATGGGTTTTTCCAATTGAATGGTCTCCCAATAATTGAGTTACACGTGGCAGTATTTTATTAGAATAAAAAAAATGAAAAAATACATAACATTATACATTAGTGGAAAAAGACACATGACGACCACCCCTGCTCCTTTGCTCCTTCTCTCTCTAAACAAACCGATAAAAATTCATCTTTTTCTGTTTCAAGAACAAACAACAACTATAATCAAAATTTGGAGGAAAAGAAACAAAACCAACCTGAACTGTAAATCAAAGCAAACGTCTTGTGTTGATTTGTACTCGGAGGCGGTGGTGGTCTTAATCGGGGAGTTGCGGCAAGGCTTCAAAGTCTGACGGCGCGTGGGGTGGCATGAGACAGGCGGTAGTTCGCGTGATGGGAGGTTGCGATGGCGAGATTGAGGCGGATGAGGAGGTTGGTAGTGATGGCTGCGTGTTATGAGTTGTTGTTGCGGCGTGTGGTTGCGATGGTAGATCTCCGGTTGTACCAAATCAAAGACGGAAGGTGCTGGGCGAGATTGCGGCATGGCTTCGTCGGAGAACATAGCTGTAAAAGTTGTACCTGCACAACAAGCAACACAAAAATCGATGAGAAACAGAGGTGAGATTGAATAGTTGGAAAGGTAATCGTATCAATGGTTTGGTTGAATTATAAATTATGTGAGTGGTTCATGGAGAAGGTTTAATGAGATGTTTTGAATGTTGTTGTCGAATTTGTTGGTCTCGGCGCATTCAGATTCGTGTCCATCGGAAATGGCTGCATGGTTTCTGCTTCTTCTTCCTTTACCTGCAAAAAGAAAACTAAGATTGTATTGATGAAATTGTTGTATTCTTGCAGGTCATGCACGGGCGGAGGGCACTGTGTTGCGTTGTTGTTGATAATTTCGTCGTTTTTTCTGGTGATGTTCCCGCGGAAGAAGCTTCTTCATGATTCGTTGTTGTCTTTCAAACATATGGTCAATGTAACAAGAAGAAAAGTATAAGTTTTTTCTAATCTTCCAGGATCTTATAAATAATTGTGATTATCCTGATTTTGGTGGTAAAACTTGGTTTGGGTTTGAAGATTACAAGGAGATTGTTGTTTATGAATTTTGAATTCCAATTTTCATGTTACAGTGAGTTTCAAATTGCTCAATATTATGTAGTTAGATATTGGTTTGTTAGTTTACAGATGTTATTTCAAAATAGGGGTAATGATTTATGATGAAAAGGTTAGTGAACACCTGGTTTCCCATATGAATATTTTACAGTTTTGTGGACAAGCAAGAAAATAAAAGTGTATAAATTAGGCATTTGATTTTCAATCGTGATAAAGGAAATATGTATGCACCGTGTTGTTTTGTATAATCTAGGAAAAAATTGGAATTCTTTTAGTAAATTAAATCAAAACTATAATAAAAAGATTTTCTATAACAATTTTAAAATTAATTCACAAAAGAGTTAATTTCTATAATTTGTTCATAAAAAAAAATGAGGATCATTGATGTTGGAAACAAGATGAGATTTTGGTCAAAAGATTGGTTGACTAATGTCAAAAAATATGTACATAATATGTATAGTATTTTATGGTAATATACGGTTTAATAAGTGTGAAAATTCGGGAATTGTTAGTGTAAGACTAAAACCATCAGTTTCACATCATATGGTTTTAAAAGTAAAAGCAAACAAATTAAAATCAAAAGGGAGGGGGCTTCATATAGAAATCATTGGCCAAAGAAAATATTGGAAAAGTGTGTCTGAGTTGAAACAGTGAAATTTGTGTGTGTGTGTGTGTGTGTGTGCGCGCGCGCGTGTGCGTGTGCGGTTTGTGTGTGTGATGTGTGTGAGTGTGTGTGTGTGTGCATGTGCGTGTGTGCGCAAGTGTGTGTGTGTGTGTGTATGTGTGCGTGTGTGTGCGTGTGTGTGTGCGTGTGTGTGTGTGTGCGTGCGCGTGCGAGCGTGTGTGTGTGTGCGTGCGTGCGTGTGATTGCAAAATTGTGAATTTTATTGATGATAGAAGTGTAATTGTGAGAAATTGTGGATGAAAAATTAGGACAACAATGAGTCCTATTTATAGAGTTAAATTATATTACAAAACTTGGAGAGAAAGTTAGCCCAAAATGAATGTAAAACCCAAGGCCTGGTCTCTAAAAAAGGAAAGAAAATTAGTAACAAAAAGAAATAGAAAAAATGTTTAAAAGTGCACCATAAGAGATTCAAACTTGCAACCTCATACTTGCAAGCTTAATTTCTTACCAACTGTGCTATATTACTTATTTAAAATAAAAAGCCAATTGAAAGTACACGAAGACGAGTAAGTATTTGTTTATTCAAAAATACAAATGATTTGAAATAAATCATTATATTTTTAAATAGGTTTGGAAAAAAATATTTATAAAAATCTAATAATATTATAAAAACAATGTTTAAAATATTTTCCACTGTAGAAATAAAGGATGGACAAATTTGGGGTATGACAACTTGATATGCCCCCATAGTAGGTGTTGGCTTGCACCAAAATGGGTTAACAATTATGTGTGTTGTTTTACTTTTAAGTATTGTTCTTACATGTTGATATCTTTCCACGATTTTTGTGTTCAGATCAGATGCCTCAACATGTCATAGGACATCTGGTTTGTGACTTTACCAAAATTTCAATTGGTATCAGAGCAGGCATCTTGCCTATTTCTGGATGAGATTCTGGGAGGATACTTTCTGGTTCATGGTCAAGGTAGAAGGTTCTACTGAAAAGTTTGTTTGAACTTGGATAGTTCATATTGTTTTTGAATGGTCCCTTGAAGTGGAGGATGGACTATTCTTGACAGGGGATGTATTGGACCTTTCTGTTGGCTTCAGGCCTGTAGCTTTGGTGGTAAGTTACTATGTTAGGTTTGACTTATTTTCAAACCTAGGATGTTTTTTATTGCACCTGGATTGTGTGCAATATGTTGTGCTTGAAGACTGGTGAGGAGCTTTTGTCGTGTATTCCTCTACATGGTATCTGTTGTAACCCTTATTGTTTCTTGTGTCGCAAGTAAAGGAAGGACATTAGGGTTTGGTCTCCTCAACAAGTTTGTTGTGTGTTGATGCAATTTATACAAGACAACCTCAACTATCTCTGGGAAGTTGCCTACGATACTTGAGTTTTATCTCTCAAGTCCACTCATAAAGGCACTTTTGATGAGTTTGTTGAAGGAAGATTAGAGTCGTTTATTTTGGCTTCTTGCAGAGTCTTCCTAATACTTGACCTAATTAGGAAAGTGATTTTGAGTCTTCTTGTTGCTTGGTATTGCTGAAGCTTGGAATAATTGTATGGACCTTGAAGGTGATCAAAGGATTTTTTTTAGAAGCAGTTTAGGCTTCGAAACTAAGTTTTGTTTTGAGAGTTCCAAAAGAAGGGAATTGATGTCCTACAAGATGTTGGGACATTGTGTCAGCAAGTGTGCAGATTCCTGTTGCAAAACAGATGCTCTAGGTGCTAGAAAAACATGTAAGGATCACATATGTTTAGAACCTACTCGTAATTTAGAAGAGGAGGCATCTAGGATGTGTATCTAAAATGGTTTATCCAGAAGATATGTCTTAGATTAATGGACTAGTTGAATGTTGATAAACAAATTAGTTACTTCTTGACTCAGCTTATTTCTGATCCGAGCTAGTAAAAGTGCAGAGGTTGAGCTCTAATTCTAGTAGAGATTTGTCATCTCAGCCAGGTTCCTTGTTTTATAGAGGTCAAGTTCATAGGGCAAGGACATTATCTCTAACATCTGGTTTATTCTTCTGATCAAAGAAACCATATTTGTATGGAATCTTATTTATGGCCATAAAACAGGTTCTGTCTAAGGGGAGTAATGGTGGTATGCACTAACCACATGTTGTACTGCTCGAAGATTCGTAGCAACTGTTGAAGAAAGCCCCAAGTCTGGAGCTAAAGGGGTCTTGAAGAAATGTCAGATGTAATTTCTTGACATCTTTGGGTTGAGAATTTATTTTGTCTCAACGTGTTTGACTGATGTTTCTCTCAAACTGGATAGAGGTTTTTTTTTCTTAAACTTGATATCTCGTATCAAGTCTATGAGAACATTGAACTCTTGTTCTGCTAAAAGTGAAAGAGACATTTTATGGTTTTATGCAATGGAGATACATCAAACTGGGGTAATTTGATAATATGGAAGATTAACTTACAATCATTGTATTACTCAGCCAGGTGTTTATTGGAATTTTCCAAGTTTCTTGGATAAGGTGTCTAATTGGTGGAGGCTGAAGAATGGGTGAAACAGACTTCACAGTACAGTATGGTTATGTTATAATACCATGGTTGTGATGCTATGCATTTTAGAGTGAATCTCCTCTTTATATGTAGAAGGATGGCACCTTACAGGAGGTCAAGATATTGTGCTTATGAAGAAGCCCCCTGAGGTGTGGTATCAGCTGCTGACTTGAGTCTGCATATATGGCCAGTTACTGAAGTATGTATCTCTTGTGTTCTCCCTCAAGAGTGATATATGGATTACTATGACGTTATCTCCAGAACCATAGTTAAGGGTGAAATCCATACCACTGAGATTGATGTCTTATCTGATATCAGAACATCATCTGAGGTGTTTGTTGGTTCAGAAGGAAGCTATTTTGAAGATCATGGGATGAACATTGCTGATCACCAATGAATTCTAAAATTGGAATAATTAACCATGATGGAGTATGATGTCCAGTCATTGACCAAGTCTAGAATGTTGTGAAGATTCCTCTTGTGTTGAGAATGTGAAGAAGAAAGGATTTCAAATCAAGTGTTCTAACATCTGTTGAAAGGGAGTATCAGCTACAACTGTATGTGTAGGAAAGTTTTTCCTCTTATGACAAAATACGTTGTCAGGAGCTGGGTATAAGTCTGATCTTGTGAATATGTTCATATTACTGATGATAAAGACATTGTCGGGAGCTGGGTACTTATCTGATGTATGGATGCAAATCTGATCTCTGAACTGTTAGTTCAGAAAGTGGTTGAGAGTTTATTTCTCTCAATGGTGTTTAAGTGGTTGTATTAATCTAAACAAGCTGCAGAAGGTGTGATCTTCTCTTAAAAGGACTGTCAAGTTTAATGAGCTCTTTGGATGATAAATCAAGAACCAAATTATTGGGTTATGTGAAGAAAGATTGATGTCCTAAATGATGTTGTAACATCATTTTTTTCCTAAAGGAGGGTCTGGGATTATGATTATGGGGGATTGAGGATCAACATTGGTGTCAGAAGAAGGAGTTCTGACTTTGTGGATCAGAATATGCAGATTACGATCTTGTCCACAATAGTATGCTTGGTGAAGGCATGACTACCATGGTGAAGACTTCACTAGTACCAACAATTACTAGTGAATGTGAGGGTAAAGGACTAGTATCAGATAGTGTGATTTGATCATAAAGATTGTGGAGAAGTGGTTTTTCCTCTACTATAAACCTGTCAGCCTAGAGTTTTAAAAAGCAAGAAACTAAGTGCTTGTGTGTAAATGATGTCAAAATCATGTGGTTCTAGCCAGAAGAAGCCAGTCTATACTGCTCTCTCCAAGAGTCG